CATGTCATGATCCCGGGGTCCTGGGATCAAGCCCCGCATCGGGCTCCCTGCTCGGCGGGGAGCCTGTTTCTCCTGCCGCTGCCCCTGCTTGTGTTCTCGCTCTCTTTCTGATAAATTAAAAAAAAAAGAGAGAGAGAGAATCTAGGTCCTGGGACAGAACTTGAAAAACGACCACATTGACACACTACTGTTCCACTTTGGAACTTTGAGGTTTCATTAGTCTCCCAGTCCTGGCACCTTGTTTAATTGCCACAGTCCTGCCACACTGGCCACTTCTCTGCATTTGTTAGATACTTGTGTGTCCCTGTAGGTTGGGAATACCTTCATCTTATCATTTTTGTATCCCTCACAATAGGGTATGGGGCTTTAAAAGCCATACATGTGATGGGTTGTTGCAGTGAATGTTTTAGTCTATAAACTCCTCTATGTGCCAAAGACAAATACTAGATGACTGAGAACGACACTCCTAGACTGATGCTTTAAGTTGTGATGTGAATCTGAACATGTGTGTGGTCCTACAAAGTAGTGCACAGCGGTTCAGAGAAAGGCCTCAGACAGCCCATTCTTCTCCTGACATGCCCTCCTTGCTGTCCCCAGATTATGGGGTCTGGAACTTGTTACTAGTCTGTAACCTCCTTGAGGACAGGAACTGGGTCTTTGCTGTTTCTGCAGTGCCCGGCACACTCCCTGACACACAGTTCTTGGCACTTGAGAAATGCGTAGAATTACTGAATGTGCTCAGTTCAGCACTTGCTCTTAAACTGCTGTTGCTAGTGCTACTAATTCCCATGTGGTTCTTTGATTACAAAGTGTTATCTTCTTCTGCTCCTGGATTTCTTGGTCTTGATCTGACATTTTTTTCTTCCTTTTCTGCCTCTGGCCAGCTCCTGCCTTGCGTCAGGCCCAATTCCATGACCAGAAGCACAGCAGGGAGGAAGGTGAGAGATGCTGCAACAATGGTTAGAAATGTGCTGAAGGGTGAGGAAGCGATATGAAAGGAAGGCTGTGAGTCCTATGAGAAGGCAGGCAATGGGTGCAGACAGCCCAGGCCCCACCCAGGCTTGCCTCCAGGAGCTGGAACCTGGCTCTGCTCAGACTACTGCCTAGCACATTCCCCCCATTACTCCAATGGAGGAGCCAATTACACCTTTGATCTTCCTTATGGATAGAGCAGTTCTTTCTTTGGACGCAGACTCAGGCCCTCAATAAGCACTGAATTGGTCAACAGATATGACATGTTGTCCACCAGGGAAGCTCATTAAAGATCCAGTGTCTAAGGTTTTATTGGTGGCTGGTAATACAGGCAGGGGCCCTGCTTGACACATTCCCGAATTCCAGACTCCCAGAAGGAAAGCAGTGTTCACTATAAACCATACTGTTTCTACAAACAGTTTAGGCACAGTGAGCTTCTTCTCAGTTTGGAACGGTGGGAATCCTCTCGAAATTGAAGCCACCAGATGCCAGCCAAGAGCCAACCTTGTAGGCAGCCCTTTCTAAGGACAGCAGTCTTGGGTCTGCTATGTCAACTCCTTCTCCACACCAGCTCAGCTTCAGATTTTTCTGTGGAGTTGGCTAAGGTGCCACCTTGACAGCCCTAAATACCGGATGCAGGAGTGGTAGTCTTCATCATAGCTCTATTTATTCTGCAAAATTTAAACAGAGCCTGCAGGATGATAGTGGACTAAGGCAAATTCAATGGAGGAGGAGCCCCGACTACAGAGGCTGCGCCAGATGTGACATCTCTGCTAGAGCAGGTTAACATGGCTATGGGTACGTGCTACGTAACTACCTATCTGGCGGGCACGTTTTTCCATCCCTGTAAAACAGGATCACAAACAGTACACACTCACATGGAATGAAAAACAAGGCCATGTAACTCTCTGGCTTCTATTAATATAATAGAGAGAGACCCAGACCAGGTAGACATTCTACAGAGAGTCACTGAGGTCACCAAACTGATGGATTATATTAATCCAATGGCATGAGCAAGACATGACTCGTAAATCTGAGGCTTTGATAAAGTACATGTGCTCTAGAGGGTGAGATAAAACCCATGCACTTGGGGCGCCTGGGTGGCTCAGTCGGTTAAGCGGCTGCCTTCAGCTCAGGTCATGATCCTGGGGTCCTGGGATTGAGCCCCACATCCGGCTTCCTGCTCAGTGGAGAGCCTACTTCTCCCTCTCCCTCTGCCTGCCACTCTGCCTAGTTGTGCTTTCTGTCAAATAAATAAATAAAATCTTTAAAAAAAAAAACCCATACATTCCAGAGCCTACCGTATCAGTAAAATTTGGGGGGAGGAATGTCCAGGGAGCCGGGGCATGCTAAAATATCCCCTCTGAAGTAAAAGACAAGTTATTACGACCTACATCTCCCACTATAAAGAAGGGAGCACATTTCACACCTAAAAATACTGCTCTCAGCTGTCACACTGGGTGACATGAAAGGCTGCCAGTTTTGAGTGAGGCCCAAGCAGGAAAGGGCTCTATGGCACATTCATATTATGGTAAAAGCAGGTCTGCCACTTGGGTCATCTAACGTAGCAGACCCTACGATATTAGAGGTATTGGTGGAGGGAAGAAATGCAGAAGAAATGAAAGCAAAACCACAGTATATATACTCTTTATTTTTCTCTGCTCATTTTATTGAGTAACTGTATAAAACCCACATACATTACTGGAGAAAATATTTTATTTTTCAAATGCATTCTTCACTCCTCAATTATTTCTGTAATATTTTACCCTTTTTAAAAACTAAATATATATTTTAATATACTTCACCTTTTCTCAAAGACTGTGGTATAATTGTGATTATCTTTAGCAACCAAAGTCTATTTCTAGCGATTTAAACTTGATATGGAGAAAAATGTCATGTCAAGTCCTTTGTACCTGATTTGGTGCTGAGGTTTAACTAGTGTATTGGTTTGTTCCAGGATCCAGAGGCTACTCCAAGCTTTAAAGCAAAGTGAAACCCTTAGGCTGGCCTTGGCTGCTCGAGGCACCTCTGGATGGGATGACTGGTTTGCCCTGCACAGGACCGTTTCTCCCTGGGCTAGGCTGGAGTATCTGGAACAGAGGACTGAGGTATTTACTGTGTCTAGGCTAGGCATTTGTTCAGAGTGGCAGGTGAGGAGAACCCTATTTCTTATGTCCGATTTTTACTGGTAATCATTTCTCCCTAAGAATAAAGAGCAAACAGGTAGCTCTGGGTCTTTGATGATACCAATATTTTGTTCTCGGTCACTTATCTCTCAGTGATACTAAGCCCAATCACAAAGAAGACAAGGGCTGAGCTCACCGTGAACACAAGTGGTAAAAGTGACTGTGGCGACTGTGATAGAGGCTCAAACTGGGCTTTGACTCTTGGAAAGGCCTCCCAGGCTGGAGTCAGTCTAAGCAGCTAGTAGAGAGCCAGAATTTGGATGTACTGTGTTTGGATTGATCCTACTTTTCTTCACTGTCCACTGAGTTTAATTTTTTATACTCAAAAATAGTCTCCATCTCTATCACAGTGTCTCTATAAAACCTAAGATCATACTCAAACTTCCCCTTCGAATGTCCGTTATGAATTCAAAATTAAATAACTAAAATAAATAATGGGTAGCTAATGAGATTTTTTTCTAGGTAGTAAAAAGATATGACCTCAGTGTTTCTTCTTAATATAATTCTGACCTCTGAAATGTGGGAAGGTTCCCATTTACAGGGAAGGTTTGGAATCCTACATAAAAATATAACATGCATTAACACAGAAAATTCTTGTATACAAAGAAAATTCAAGTGACCGTATCCTTACTGATATTAATATAACACAAAATTTCCATGAACATTTTAGCACAAAATGCAATTCATTTCTAGTTAACACAATGAAACAACTGATACTCAAATTCTAACTACTATAGCATAGACATCTGAACAAGGTTTGAATATGTACATGCATTTCAAAGTAGAATTTGGCTATGGGCTGGTAATTTTTATTCTAATTCACAGTATTTTTGACTATTAATTTCAGTTGTTCTTAATAAGAAATTAGAAGAAAAGCTAAATTTCTGACAGATCAAAAATTAGCTAAGGGTTCTTCTTTTGTATATTCAGTTAGAAGCTATTCTAAAGCTGCTGCTTTACCTTCTTTCTTTAAATAAAAGCCTTTGGATAGTATACTCTCCTAATTACGGGAAAATATTCTAATCCTTTCTCCAAATCCTATCGCAATTGGAAGAGCCGCAATCATTATTTTTTAATGATTTCATCTATATTTTGTATTTTAGAAATGTCAGCAATATTACTTTCTGTAAAATAAAAAGGAGCATTAAAAATATTCAGCTAGTACTAGCGTCTAGATTTTGAAGACATTCCTTTATAATGAAACAAAATGTTCAGAACAACTGTCCGCAACCAACCTTTAAAAATCAGATTTAGTGCCCTTTCTCGCTTTTTAAACTGATGTGGGCTTATATCAAAGTGTTCCTAGAGGGGAGGAATGATGTACCGTACTGAAAAACTGAGACCTTGTCAGAGGCCTTCTCAACCTGGTTCTGAACAATTTTAAAAGCCAACAGATCTGTACCATATGCTATTCTCAGGGTCAGGACTATGGGATGCTATGTAAAAAAAAATCGTTTGGTATTACAAATAACAAAACCACCTTGGATTGGATCCAAGATAGACATGTGTTATAAATGAATTCTGCTTTATAGTAAAATACATTTAAAGTATAATTCAACATACTTACCATAAAGCATACATAAGTAAAGGTACTCCTTTGAAGCCAAAAATCTGATGCTGCTGAAGCAGAGTCCAGTTCCTACTACCATTGCTGAATGTGACTAATTTGATACCACTTCCTAAGTCCTGTGGAATCTTCTTGATCTTTTAACATCTTACGATAGTGACCTGGCACTAGTTTAGGTCTATAAAAACATAATTGTCACAAATCACACAAAAACATGATAACTAGCACACATTTCTGTACATCTTCAAAAAAAATCTTTGGATAACAACTAAATGCATAATGCTATGGGAGATCCAAAGAAACACTCTAAATGATGGATAATATTTAATGATGGCAAATGACAACTATTTTCTAAAAAGCTGTACCAATGTTAATTTTAGGTAGAACATAACATGGAATTATTTCATGAAATATAGTCTCTTTCTATGCTCTCCTGACAACACTCCCAACAGAAAACTTCCAGTCTATTTGCTGTTTCTTGGCTGATGAGACATTCATCTTTTAATTCCCTGATTGTCTTCCTCAGTGATTTTTGGAAACGTTTTTCTCGGTCTAAAACATTCCGCAGACTTTTCTTGGTATCCTCTAGCTCGCTGATCACATGATCTAATTTATGCTTAAGTTTCTTTGGACTGTCCATTACACTGTAGCTATGTTCCTAAAAACATAAACACCAAGTTATTAAACCAGAGAGACAAGTAGTTAACATAAATGCTTATAGCTAGGCCTCAGCTGTTCTTCCATTCACAATGCTTAGATATCTTTAAGTTGGCGATACTTAGAGGTTTAAAGAACACAGGAAGGAGATGCAGGTAAAAGCAGTATTTTGGGTGCCCAGTGCCTCCCTCCTTTATCTAAGGCTAGGCGTAACATGAGGGGTACACAATCTGTGGAGGGGAGGCGCTGCTCCTTGGGGGGTAAGTATCTGCTATGAACATGACACTTGTAATGACCATCCAGCTCTCATTCCCTAGGTGTGGGGCTGCTAAGTTTATGTTTTACCTACCAACAAATCTTCAATCGTTACACTTTCAACTATTTTATTTTATATTGATGAATATTCATGTTAAAGGAGATGACAGAAAAGGAGCCCTTGAGCAGGTCCTCAGGCTGAGTGTTATATATTTAGAGAGGACTCTGCTTTGGGGTTTGTAGACAGAGAATTTAAGCTCTCTTGATATTTATTATGGCTATGCTTAAGTTTGCTGGGTATATTTTTTTTTCATTTGAATATAGGGAAAGTTACACTGACATATCTTAAAAAGGCACTATAAAATAATCTTGAAAAGTTATTTAATATTAAAATTAGCAAAGAGGACTTTTGCTTGTAGCCAAGATGAAATAACAGAGACTGGATGGATTCCTATCTAAAAAACCCAACACATGGCTAAAAGGCATAAAAAAAGGTTACAAAGATAACCGACATCAGGCAAGGAAGGCAGCAATCCTGGAGGGATGGGAAACTGAGAGGTGAGCCCCATGGCCGACTGCCCCAGCTTACTGCCTTGGGAGAGTGTGTATGCTGCAGAGCTCGCGAGACAGAAGATTGTGTAGAGCGTCCAGGAAGACCAAAGTGGCTACCATTCACAGAAGAAAGTACTAGAGAGGAGAGAGAACTCTGAAGATCCTTACAGGCTCCCCTTCTAGTATTCAGTGCACACAGGTAGGGAACTGCTCAAGGTTGAGGAAAGAATGACCAGAAAGGACCAGCGCTCTGTGTTCAGAGGGTGTGGCCACTATTCCCACTCCTGCCATATTAGAAAATTCCAGGATTCACGGGGCATTGAGTAGAGTATAGAGAAGGGTCTCGCTGCAGTGGTGGAGAACAAATGGCCCTAGACAGAACACTCTTCTAGTCCTGCCTAACAAACAGAACCTGAAAGGATCAAACTGTTTCCAAATAATTTTGTGGTATCCCAGAACAAAGCTCAAGAATACAGGGTACAAAAAAATCCAGTATCCAGCAAAGTAAAATCCACAATGTGCAGCACACATTTATCAGGTATGCAAAGAAATAGGATGACGTGAGCCATAATGAGAAATAAACCAGTCAATGAAAACTAACCCAGAATTGCCACAAATGTTGGAATTAGCAGATAAGGGAATTAAGAAAGTTATTAAAATTGTATTCTATATATTCAGAAGGTTAGGCGGAGACATGAAAGATATAAAAAAGAAACAAATAGAACATCTAGAGATAGAATCTACAACGTGGGAGCTGAAAAATACATTGGAGGGAATTAATGGCAGATTAGGGTGAAGGCTCAGCAATATGAACTATCCAGAACAGACTACAGAGAGAAAATGGAATATTGAAAAACAAAACCAGAAAAAACCAAAAAATTAGAAAAGCATCAGTGAGTGGTAGTGTGACTCACATAGCCTAATATACATGCAATCAGAATCCCTGAAGGGATGGAAAGAAACGTTGAGGTAGAATGAAATATCTGAAAAAAACCTTGGCCAAAATTTGTCCTAGTTTGATGAAAACTATAAACCCACAGATAAAGAAGCTCAAAAATCCCAAGCATGAGAAATATGAAGAAAACTAAACTAAGGTACATCATAATCAAATTATTCAAGCCACTGGGAAAGAAAAATTCCCAAAAGCAAGGAAAACAAGAAACATTAGCTAGATAGAGGATAAAGATGACAGATTTTGCATTAGAAACAATGCCTGTGGGGATACAGTGGAGCAACATCTTTGAAGAACTAAAAACAAACAAAGAATCTCCAAAACTATCAACTTAGGATTTGATACCTAATGAAAAAAATCTTTCAAAAACAGAGAGACTAAGTAATGATTTTTTCCCAGAAATATAAAAGCTGAAAGAATTCATCACCAGCACAGCTGCACTGTAAGAAATTAAAGTCCTTCAGACAGAATGAAACCAGAGGGAAATACAGACTTACATGAAGGAATGAAAAGCCCTGGCGACAGCCACTACATGAGTAAGGTATAAGACTTTTTTTCTTATTATTTATATCTCTTTAAAAGATAATTTATTGTTAAAACAAAAATTATAACAATGTAGTGTTGGGGTTTACAGCATATGTAAAAGTGAAATGTATGATAGCAGTTAACACAAAAATTGGGAGAAGGGAAATGAAAGTAGACTATTTTAAGATTCTTATAATATGTGTTAAGTGGAATAATATCACTTGGATCTAGCCTTTGATAATTTAAAGATGAATGCTATAGATTCAAAAGCAATTACTAAAATGAAACAAAAAGTTACAGCCAATGAGTCAAAAAAAGGATATAAAATGGAACCAAAAACATTCAATTAATCCAAAAAAAGGCAGAAAAAGAAGAAAATGGGAACAAAGAACACATGGAACAAGTAGGAGACAAATATGATGACAGATTTAATTTAATTAAACCAAACAATATCAATAAACACATTAAGTGTAAATGGTCTGAATAACCCAAGTAAAAGTCTGAAATTATCAGTTTAGATTAAAAAAATCAAGACCCAGAAGTATAAGCTACCTAAAAAAAATGCACTTCAAACAAGCCAAATAGGTTGAAAGTAAAAGAGTGGAAAAAGATACAGACCTTCCTCCACCGATGATGGGTTTCACAAGGCCCATTTTATATAAAGTGTGGAATATCTCATGTAATTAATTGAAAACTATTATTGGAAGTGAAAAACACAATGGCTGCATGGGCACAGAATGGTTCTAAGTGTACTGATTGTTCACCCTTGTGATCGTGTGGCTGACTGGCTTGCTGCCACTGCCCAGCATCATAAAAGAGTACAGTGACACATATCACTCGCCCAGGAAAAGATGAAAATTAAAAACGTGAAATACGGTTTCTATTGAAAGCCTATTGCTTTTGCACCATCGTAAAGTTAAAAATCACGAGTCGAATCACCATAAGTTGGGATCGATTACCAATATACAACACTAATGAAAAAGAAAAAAAAGTGGGTATACTGCTATCAGAGAAAACAGATTTCAGAGCAAAAGAACATTACCAGGGATAAAGAAGGTCATTTCCGGGGAGGAGCAAGATGGCGGAAGAGTAGGAGACCTAAATTTCATCTGGTCCCAGGAATTCAGCTAGATAGGTATCAAACCATTCTGAACATCTACAAACTCAACAGGAGATCGAAGAAAAGAATAGCAGCAACTCTCTGAACAGAAAAGCGACCACTTTCTGGAAGGTCTCTTCTGATTTGTTTAGTGTGTATTTTTCTGAGGTCATTGTTACCCTATTAGCATTTTGTCTCTTATTCATCTATTCTCCTCTGGACAAAATGAAAAGACAGAAAAACTCACCTCGAAAAAAAGAACAAGAGGCAGTACCGACTGCCAGGGACTTAATCAATACAGACATTAGTAAGATATCAGAACTAGAGTTCAGAATGACTATTATAAAGATACTCGCTGGGCTTGAAAAAAGCATGGAAGATACTAGAGAAACCCTTTCTGGAGAAATAAAAGAACTAAAATCTAATCAAGTCGAAATCAAAAAGGCTATTAATGAGGTGCAATAAAAAACGGAGGCTCTAACTGCTAGGATAAATGAGGCAGAAGAGAGAATTAGTGATATACAAGACCAAATGATGGACAATAAAGAAGCTGAGAAAAAGAGATAAACAACTACTGGATCACGAAGGCAGAATTCGAGAGATAAGTGATACCATAAGATGAAACAATATCAGAATAATTGGGATCCCAGAAGAAGAAGAGAGAGAGGGGCAGAAGGTATATTGGAGCAAATTACAGCAGAGAATTTCCCTAATTTGGGGAAGGAAACAGGCATCAAAATCCAGGAGGCACAGAGAACCCCCCCTCAAAATCAATAAAAATAGGTCAACACCCCGACATCTAAGAGTAAAACTTACAAGTCTCAGAGACAAAGAGAAAATCCTGAAAGCAGCTCGGGACAAGAGGTCTGTAACCTAGAAACATTAGATTGGCAACAGACCTATCCACAGAGACCTGACAGGCCAGAAAGGACTGGCATGATATATTCAGAGCACTAAACGAAAAAAATATGCAGCCAAGAATACTATATCCAGTTGGCTGTCATTGAAAATAGAAGGAGAGATAAAAAGCTTCCAGGACAAACAAAAACTAAAAGAATTTGCGAACACCAAACCAGCCCTACAAGAAATA